TTTTTTTATTAAATTCAGCATCCCCGAAAACCTCAGTTGGAGTCCTCTGGTTTTTTGGTTTTTGAAGCAATTTTCGTCTGTCAGAAGCCTAAAATTAGCTGAAAATTCCTACCGTAATCCCACAGTAACTAAGGAAAATCGGTAATTCGCTCTATAAACTATAAATCTAAGCTGAAGTTAGCCCTACCGTATGGCACCCAAAGATCCGTGAAAGCTTTCCATATAAGGAAGTTAACAAAGATCAAACGTTCAAAAATTGGGACACCCTGTATGTTCCCATAAGATACCACAAAAGCTAACCCACCTGAAAAGACCATACAAGATTCTGTAACATTTTGAAAAAACCTTCTATTTCATTATAAGCGATGCCTGAGAGCGCGGCATAAGATTAACATATTAGCTTGAGAGTGACGTGACAAACGAAAATATTGATTTAAACTGAACATGTCTAAACCTATTATGACGTGCGGAATGACAAGTAACAACATGTTAGGTGTAATGCTTGGTTGCGAACTCGTTTCAGTCAATTATGAACCCAACAAAAAAACGGCGAACGTGGAGGAAGCCTTTGAAGGTGAGCGCTTTTCTCGCTTAGAAAATGCAGTCATAAAAAATTTAAATGATATTGATCGAATAAATTAGAATCCTTTTTTGCCAGTATTGATAAACAGGAGAAGTAGAAAATGGACTGGTGCACAAAAATCAAGAACTAAACCCGCACCTTCCCATATTCTTTGAAAGTCGAGTCAGGACTAGCTGATTGGTGAGAAAACGAACCAACATGATAAACCAAAAAAGAAATTTGTCGCAAAAATGAAGTAAGCAAGAGGACAAATCGAAATTTCGTTAGGACTGAACGCCTCGCTCCACGGCAAGATGTTGACCCAAACGACACAGACATAAACTACAGTACCCCAAATTGGTGCACCGCGCGTACACTCATTCCAATCTTTTCTAGGCGGACGGGGCATTTCGCTCAAAAAATCCTCTCTGTACTGCTTGAAGGCTCTTCCCAGCCAACGCCTGCAGGAAGATGATGTCGAAAAGGCTTGTTTCCGCTCTTAGCAGCACTGTAAAGGTAAGAAATTTTACTATATAACGTTTTATGTTACCCAGGTTGAGCTTGTAATGATCTGCAGCCTTCTTATCATTTAACGTTGTGTTTTTGCTGATGCCAAATCATATTTGCATGCGCTTATGTTCTTAAACAGCTTTTTTCCGCAAATTGTCACATTGTCCTTCATTTATAGTGTTGAATACAAAAAATCTTCGCTGATGCGAACCGGTTTCAGTAATTGATATGTCCTATCCGCTTATCAAAAAGTACGAAACACGACTTGAACTTCGAAATTTTGCTTGCGTTTGGGGAACTTAGGTTTTGCTCCATGATTACCTAACTTTTCCTTTCGATGCAGGCTTTGCTTCATTATTGTTAGCCTTTTCTTTCGTGGCAATCTCATAATTTTAAAAAGCTTTTGGTTTATTTTACAACTCATTGTCGCTCCACGTGCATCTAGGTACTTTCCTTTTCGAACGGATCATCATAGGTTTCGGCTGTTGTTAATAAACAAATTTCAAAAATGCTATGGCTTTCTCTATCAGCGTTCCTTTGCTTTCCAGCCTATAGGTTTTTTGTGAAGCTTTCTTAATTCTGAGAACAGCACATATCTCTTAAAGAAGAAGTAATTTTCAGAACCTGACTCGAAAGATGTGTTGCATGTTTACTCTCAAGATTCTCTGAAATGTTCACGAAAAAATACAAAATCCGAATTAAGGTGTCTCAAAATGCTGGAATCGCCACAACTGCTAGGAGTATGGCCGTTAGTGGATCAGAAGTATCAAAGATCCTCGAGGAGCGCATTCTGGGCCAGGAAGGTAGCATGAAGCTGGAGGAGACGGGAAAAGTGAGTTTTATATACTGTAATGCTTTTCAACACTGAAATGTCACCTGATTCCATAGGTCCTTTCCATCGGAGACGGTATCGCCCGTGTATATGGTTTGAAGAACATCCAGGCAGAGGAAATGGTTGAATTCGATTCTGGAATCAAGGTGAGACTTGGCTATATTATTAATTTTTTTCTATCATTATAACTAACTTTTTAGGGAATGGCGTTGAACTTGGAACCCGACAATGTCGGTGTTGTCGTTTTCGGTAACGATAAAGTCATTCGTGAAGGAGATATTGTAAAGCGTACCGGAGCTATCGTCGACGTGCCCGTCGGTGAAGC